TGGATTAATGGTAATTACATTGAACCTTATGGGAAAATTTGCTTCGGGTCGCGACCAATTCAGGTCATGACCAGAGTTGCGGAACCAATTAAGTTCGTGAACCGAGATTCCACTGTACTAATATTATAATAAGTATAAATTTCTATAATTCCTTTTTTGTTAGCTTAAATGAATCATCTCACATTATCTTACCTCTGCTATAAGGACAACTATCACACAATTTTTCTTCTGATATTCAGACATTCCATCGAAAAGGGAATTCAATGTACTCATCAAATAATTTCCCATTTTTCTTCGCACTGTTGATATACCAATTACTAGGGATACTAACATACAAAAAATTTTTTTTTATTTTATATAATAACAATATCTAAAAAAAAGCAACTGAAAAAAATAACAAAACTTAACTTGTTACTATTTGGGAACCTGGAAGTCTGTACAAGAATTTTTTGAAAAACATATAAAGAAATGAATACAAAATGTACATATAGTATCTTATTATTATTTCAATAATAATAATATCAAACTTTGTCATAGTTTCTTTATTCCTTGATTTTTCAGTTTAGAAGCTACATATATCAAAGAAAGCTATCTTATATTATTTAGGTGCTTTATTTTGAACTAGCTTTTGCTGGTGCTGGAAGATTTGTCATCTCTTACAGATATCAGCAGGAAATACTATGTGTGTCCTGGGGTACCATATTTTCCACCCATCCTAACAGAATTTTACAGTATCTTTGTGCTAAGCTGTTGGGCATATAAACGTTTATGGAGATTAGTCACTAGTAAACTAATGCTGTATAATGCAGTGATTTGATTTGGAAGAAGTAGGATTACAGGTACTCCTCACTTAGCAAACACAATAGGGACCAGAAAATTCATCACTGAGTGGGGCAGTCGTTAAATGAGGCATTACATGACTGCACCTGATTTTACCACATTTATGCAGTGGTTGTTAAACGAATCATAGCAGTCATTAAGTGAATCATGCAGTCGTTAAATGAATCATGCAGAATGATTTTGCTTGCTGGAAGTAGGCTGGGAAGGTCGCAAATGGCAATCACATGATCCCAGGACACTGCAACTATCGTAAGTGCAAGGTGGTTGCCAAGTGCCCAGATTGCAATCATGTAACATCTGGGGCACTGCAATGGTCGTAAGTGTAAGGACTGGTCGTAAGTTACTTTTTTCAGTACCATTGTAACTTTGAACAGTCACTAAGCGAATGGTAGTTAAGCAAGGACTACCTACCTGTAATATGCTACTGAGCCACGTAGGTTACGAGGAAATTTGGGCAACTTGTCACCTTTCAGCCTAAACTTTCTCTTGGAAAGGATAATGGGATAATAGCATAATCCAGTAAGGTATCTGGATGAAAGCCATTAAGAGAAATGGAAAAACAACAACACAAGTTTGCTGTTCTTGCCAGTGCACTAAGCAAATGGAAAAATGTATCAGTCCAAGCATATGTATTTTGTTTTGATCTTAAACTCAGGACTTTAAGCAATTCTCTAACAGGGATTCTTCAATGTAAGCAACTAAGTGCAACATACTTTCAGATGTGGGCATAACATCTCTTGTGCTCACAGGCTGCTTCACACAGACTAATGAAAAGATCTGATATACACACTCAAATGAATCCATTCAAAACAAAGCTCTTCTCTTAAAACTGTCCAGAAACTTTGATGTTCGCATGACTGCACAATTAACACACACACACACACACACACACACACTTCCCCTCTACCTTACATTTTATTCTCACCCCCAGTCCTTTTTTGTCCAGCTATGACATTTGGGTAAATAGCATCTTCATGTTTCTGGAGATGAGGCAGATAGTAGCGGATAGTTGCAGGATGTACTGCGAGTTTGTTGGTAAGGCTCAGGACTTTCCACTTCATATAATCTTTAAAAAAAAGAAAGAGGAAAGAGTGATACTGCAAACATGAACATTTAATTGCCCACAATATCAAGATGCCATTTTCAAACTGCTGATATAACATTTTGAATGCTAATGATAATGTGATAGCATATCAAGGGTGCATTCTATAAACAGTAAAGTATATTTATGATAATTTAGCAGAGTTATCTCCAAATTACTGTCTTCCAGAAATTTAGGGACTATAATTCCCAGAATACATAGGCAGCATGGCTAAAAGCTGGAAATTCTGCAAATTTAGTTCCAGCATACATAAAGGACATCAGATTGGGATAGTACTATGTTATAAGGCCACTATTTTTATGCAGGCTTTTCTCTGTAAATTATTAAGTTTAAAAGTCATCCATCCTCTGGTCCTGTTTCACACATTGCACAACATTAAGACTGATCTTACAAAGTACTTTTTAATCCTTTCTCTTGATGGAACTGACCTTTAGCAGTAATACAGGTAGTCCCCAAGTTAAGAACCCATAGTTTACAAACAACCCATAGTTAAGAATAAGCCTGTTGTAGCAAAATTTGAGTTAAGTACACAATGGTTCAAGTTCATTACACAATATTACATATACAGTATTATACAGTAATACTGTTCCAGCTTACATACAAATTCAAGTTATGGACAGACCTTGGGAACGGAATTTGTTCTTAAATTGGGGACTACCTCTACACGTAAAACTGAAGATATGCTACTTAAATTTTCATATTAGCACTGTATCCATTTGAAGCCAATGATATTAGTTGATTGAGGATCTATACAGTATAAAGGAAGAAAGAAAAGTAGATAGTCAGGCCCAGCAAATTGTCATCTCAGACTTTAGCTGTAGCAGGTGTGATATTTTTTTAAAAATGCACTATTTACATTAGCAATAATGCCGACATTAATCTTTATAATAGATATTTATCTCTCCACTGTAATGGAAAATTACTGTAACAACTTTCATAGAACTTATCTTTCCTGAAGCTGATCCAATCATGAATGCAACAGAGGACAATCAGAAAGTTTCTGTTTGTATTGTTCTGATATTCTCCTATTCAAAGAATTTTGAAAATATAACAAAAATGTTGCATAAGTATCAGTACTACATATTGTAATTTAATGGATACAAGGGATGATAACTATTCACATAACTGTCAGCACAGTCCGTTCTAATTCATCCATTTACCACTAGCAGTATCCTGCACCATTTTATATGCCAATATATATATATATATATATATA